AGAGTGACACTGTTGCCGTCCATGATCAGGTCAGATCCACCGCCTAATCACCGTAGCTGAGTATCATCTTAGGGTCGCTGTCGTCGTCCACGGCAAGCTCGGCACGCATGTCGGAGGCCATGGAGTCTGCCACGTGGCGTAGGTGGGGCAGGGGAGTCGAATAGCTCGACAGCGAAGTCGTTAAGGCTGATCTTCAGGAATCTCGAGCCTCTGACCTTGTTGACGAACTTCCCTCTGCTACGAGCCTCTGACCTTGTCAGCTGCCGGCGTCCGTTCCGGTAACCCGCGAGGGAATCAGCTCAGGCTGTGGGGGTGCTAGTGAGACGACTTCCGAGTTTGGAACTGAGCTCCATCTCCTAGTTTGCAGATCTCTGTGATCTATCATTCTGGCAGGTAAGGTGAATCTTTTTTCAACTCATATTTCTCCTGATGTATCACTCCTTTACTTCGTGGTCCTCCCCGCTGCTGTCCCTCATCTGCATCTGTTGCGGCGGCGGCTGGTGGAGATGAGCTTGAGATTAGGATTGGGAGAGTTCCTCATTTGAACATCATCATGTCCTGCCTGCCTTCCTCCTCGTAGAAATCGATTGGTTGAGGTTTCTCCAAGTACATGTCGTGGGTGTGGAAATTAAAAATATGAGTTTGCCATTTTTGTTACCTTTTGCAGTCGATGAGTTTTGGGGTTCTCTCAGCTCAGAGACAGAAAGAACTCTCTAAAGAGAGAAAGAAGAGAGAAGTTAGAGAGAGAAAGAAAGAGAGAGAGAAAGATTTGGATCTTTTCTGTTTCTGGGTTTTTGTGATTTCGCAGATTCACGACGGAGATGAAAAATTGAGAGAGAACCGACATAACTTTTCGTGTCGATTCCCATAGATGGCGCCAAATGTTGATGCACAAAACCGAAGGGGTCTTGGAACAACGTAAATTCGACCGTGATCTGCAAGAAAGTAAATAACACAAGATGTATCGTGGTTCACCCCAATGTTTGGGCTACGTCCACACTGATATTGTATTTCTCTGAGAGGACTATGAGGGAGAGAGAGAGGCTCTATAATGAGAGTGAGGCTTTGAGAGGGTGAGAGTCAGGCCTAAGAATTGGCCTCCCTAATTGTGAGGGTGAAGGGTCCTTTTATAGAATAAGAGCTCCTCACTTATTACATATTTACCCCTTCCTTTATTACATAATTACATTTAGGTCCCCGAGTATTTATACGAGATCTAAATACGGAGGCCCTAAATATGGTATAAATAGTTGTCATACAACTTAAAATAATGGGCTTGACGATCCGAAGTTTGTTGGGCCTTGGGGTCCAAAACTAATCCAAGGTCTTAAACAAACTTTTTCATTTGATTAATAACATATTAATTAATCCTAACTATAAACAAGTAAATTATTGGGTAAATCTCAGTTTACTACCCTCAAGTTTTGTGGTTTTCAACATTTGGTACATGAAGTTTTTTTCGTCTCATAGTTATACCTAAAGTGTTAATTTTGGGACAGTTTCAAACATTCGTTAGTCTGACTCTTAAGTCTTCCGTTAACTGATGATGTGGCACCCATATGGACAATGATTGAGCACCACGTGTCATTAAAGGGTCCACCTAGAAATTAAAAATTAAAAACACACACACACACACACTCGTCTTTTACCTCCCTCAATCCTCTCCATCTTTTCTGCACACCCACCAAATTTACTCAGCCTAACTTCAAATCGATTCGAACCTGCTTCGTAATCGATCTAAGCCTGTGTTTTATTCCCACTACATGGATCCAAATTCTTAGTAGAAATATAACTACCCACTTCAATTCCAACATAAACATTTCCATCTCTCAATGCATCAAATTTAACCGTAGCAACTTTGAATTTACTTTTACCATTTCCCAGAGAAAGCCCAAAAGAACTGTTACCAAATAGGCTAAGATTAAAACCCTTTGGAACCATTACAAACGCCAATCCATCCCCACCACCGTTGGAAATAGAAAACGAGAAGTTCGTCGAAAAAGACACGGATTTCTGAGGCTTACCTTCATACAGCTCGATGGGTTTCTTGTAAATAGCTCGGCTGGTGCTTAAGCTCACTAAACTGGTAAGCTAAACTGCATATTCACCATTGACGACCTCTGCATCTCCGTACAGAGCAACATCTGACCCAAAGTTTGAAACTTTACCAAAATCGGTGAACGAAAATGAGGAGTTCGGTGGAGGTGGTTCTGAAGAAGAAAACGAGGAAAGCTAACATGACGAAGTGGGTGGAGATGGAAGATGCGGCCATGGATGAAATGGGTTGGAGCTAAATCTGGGTGGAGATTGAGCAATGGGGTTTCTAAGGCTTGGGGAAGATGCCCATTTGCAATTAAAGGTGATTTTTTTTTGTTTTTTTAGGGTTTGGAAGTGGAAGAAGGCAGAGGAGGAAGGTAAAGAATATGGAGGGCCTGCAACGACAACGAGTACTGAGAGGTGGACGACGGCAAGAGGATGCTGATGAATCTCAAGTCGTTATGCTTAAGATGGATTATGGAGGGTTCTGGAGGTTCGTGACGGCGAAAAAGAAAGAATTGGAGGCTCTGAGGTCGTAGATGCCTCTGGCTTTGGGTGATTGTGTCAATCCGGCGAAGTTCATGCTGAAGGCGATATCAAAGGTGTTTCTGGTGGACAAAAGAGTGGAGAGGAGTGATAGGGGGTGTGCAAAGGAAAGAATGAGAGGGAGGGGTTGGGGGAGGTAGAAGGCGGGCGTGTGTTTTTTTTTTTTTTTTAATTTGTAATTTCCAGGTGGACCTCTTAATGACACGTGACATCCAATCATTGTCCACATAGGTGCCACATCATCAGTTAACGAAAGACTTAACAATCAAACTAACAGATGTATGAGACTGTCCCAAAATTAACACTTTAGGTATGACTCTAAGATAAAAAAAACTTCATGTACCAAATGTTGAAAACCACGAAACTTAAGGGTAGTAAACTGAGATTTACCCTAAATTATTTAATTGTCCTTACTACACTCCATTATATTCTTCAATCATTACCTTACATAGTGTGTGATCCATTAGATTATATTTAGCAAAGCAATGGATGACTAAACTCTTACAAAGAATTGAAACTTACTTTCATGATTATACATCTTCAGGGCTTCAAAAACCATGAGTAACACCTAGCAGCATGCCATGGCTACCTAAGCTAAGTAGAAGAGGTGGAGAACCTATTCAGTTTTACAATGCAATACGGTCATTCTCTATATCAATACCCTTGATCACTTTATTTAGTTAATAATTTTTGGGGGACTTTTTGGTCAAGGTGGACTTGGCCTTTGAGAACGTCCTCTTGTCTCTCTTGGGTTGGTTTCGTACCAAGTCCCGAAATATCTCGAAAGAATTAGCACGTCTTAGGAAATATCTCGATCAGATCAATGACTTAAAGATGACTTATTAAGTAAATAATGACTTACTCAAGAGAAGCATGGTGTGGAAACTAGAAGATTACGAGTTTAGCATGAGAGAGAAAGAGAGAGAGTTAGTAGAGTTGCATGATGTTCTAGGTTGGATGATTTGGATTTCCTAGGGTGGTAACAAGGCTTCTAATGTCATGAATGCTCAAAGGAAAGGCTATGGAAAATCACTAAGATTGTTGATGTGATGCTTTGGAGTTTGACGTCGTTTGCACTAAAAGAGAGATTTCCCTAGCTTGGTGCAGTATAACCCTTTTAACGTTCTATCTTTTCTTCTAGGCTGAGTTCTTGCCCCCTTGTTAATGGCTTCTAATCTCATTTTTATAGGTGGATGACTCCCTTCTAGGGGAATCTCCAAACGTGGCTTGATCTTCTCTCCTTTTTCCTCCTAGTTCTCTTGCCACTTCCATTTTGGTGCAAGATAGGCAGACGCCATTGGCCTCGTGAAGCCTACGCTGGGCCTTCTTTCAGAGGCTCTACTTTCCCAAGGCCATCATTCCACATGCATTACTTATGGTAACAGGTCTCATGGCTTTCACACATTGTTCTTTTGCGTGAGCTGGTGAGGGAAAGTCAACTTCTATCCTCATTAAATGCATGTTCTGCTAGGTGTTCACGTGACCTTAAGGCATGTGGTTCGGTTTCTTCCTAACTAAGTTGGTTACCTTGCTAGGGAAATGAGGAAACTAAGCCTAGTTCTCCTTTAAACCTGCCCATGTGGATCACAAGGGTTTTGGACTTGGATCTTTAGGCTCCCAAGCAGCCTAAAGTCTTCCATAATCTTGGTTCCACGAAAGCCCAATATTCTTCCGTAACCATCCACACTACAATTTACTTGACAAACCCTGGGCATGTGACTTGGGTTTATCTTAGATGAATTGTGATTAGCGTGATAAGGTTTGGCGTGATAAATATATATGAATTTGCACGAGCATGGCGTGATTTACACAAATGCGCGGCCTAATTAACATAGCATGGCATCATTAGACATATGAACCTTTCTTGATTCCACACCCTGACATGTCTTTTTAGGCTAAGCTTGAGGCTTGTATGACAATCAGGCTTTGAGGCTTGATTCGGCTTGTATGCGATATTTTTTGGACCTAAAAAATAGTTTATTCATGTTTATTATCCAATATTCGGTGGCCTTTTCCAGCAAATGAGCTAGACGGGCATGGGTCTTGTGCAATGGGAGCGAGCATGTACGTGTACAATGCTTATAATTGTCTTGGCCCACAAAATATGGCTGAATTCAAAGAAAATGGGTTGGAATTGGTACTTTTCCTTAAAATTAGTTTTTTTTTATAACCCGTATGCATAATTTACCTTTTGTAATTTGGGTAGATTCAGATTTTGATGGTTTGAATGTATAGGAGAAATCTGGATTCTGGTGCTTCTCACATGCTTCTTTGATGTTAAGAGTGTTGAAGTAAACTTGTACCCTCAAAGTAACATTTAAAAGGAGGCTGCATTTGGGTATAATCAATTTGGCTTCTACCGACGACATCCGACTTCGGATGCCAGACATCTGCAAGAGTTACTACTTTCTAGGGAAAGAAAAGAAGAGAAAACCAGTGCATGTAATATGATTGGTAAAAGAATGTCTCATCCAGCAACAGAAGTGTTGTTACAAAGAATGGAGGATCCTAGTACCCAACCACAAGTTCATGTATAGAAAAACTGCTTCCGAATCAAAAAAAAAAAAAACGAAAATCGATAGCGACCAATTAGCCTGGAAATAAATTGTCATCCCAAACTTGACCTTGTGACCTCATAGGCCAAGAAGCATGCTGCATTAGCTGGAATACTTCTACCCATAGCTGGTCCAAAGCCCTTATAGAGGCCTTTGACTCCCTCGGAGGCAAGAATCTTTTTAAAGGCATCAACTGACCCCGAATACTTGGGATTTTTGAAATCATCTACCTGGATTACACTCTTGACAACATCAGTTGGGTAGACGAAGCCCCAGAACGCGGCTCCCCCCAATCCTCCAGCCACTATCAAAGATCCTCTTCCCAAGCCGGAAGTGTCCTGGCCTCCAGCAAAGAACTGCTTGAGGGCTTCATAGACACCAAACATTGCAGCATTTCCAGGTATTTCGCGTGCCATAGTAGGAACCAACCCCTTGAACAGACCCCTCACACCACCTTCCGACCTAAGTACCTGCTTGGCCACATCCAACGGCCCCCCATACTTCACTGCGCCACCCACTGAGCCAGCATCCCCCATTGCACTCTGGGCTTGCAACCTGTTCTACCATGAAATCCAAACAGAATGCACATAAGAAGGCTTCCTAATTCCTTATTGAAATGGCAAAGTGATGAAATTTGAATTTAAACCTTTTCATTAAAAAGTTGATTTTAATGAAAAGAATCAATCTGTAAATACAAACCTTACACCATGATTGAAAACGCAAATAAAAGGAAAGGAATAGATTAAGGTGTTTTTCTTTCAAGGAACAAAACTAGTGTCACCTTAAATTCTCCATGACACTTGGCTGAGAGTGGTTACAGACATATTACGCAAGACCCAAATAGAAAATAGTCATTAAACTGACCTGCACTTGATCAACTCAGTAGGGCATGCCAGAAAGGACACAGCTACTCCAGCCCCTCCCCCACAAATGACCTGCTGACTAACTGTAAGCGGGACACCAGGTTGAGACCTTAACAATGTCTCCATTTGCCCTTTTACGGTGAAGAGGACAGCATTGAAGGCTGCAACAGTGGCAAGTGGAGCTCCCATTCCTTTGTAGAGACCCCCAGCTCCCTCAGCCGATAATGTCTGCTTGACAGCATCAATAGCACCTGAGAACTTGGGAGGTTGCCCTGGAAGTGGAGTAGGCTGGCTTTGGAGTTTAACCTTAATGGTATCAAATGGGTGGCCAACTACTAACTGTGCTACCCCTCCCATAGTCCCAGCGGCTAAGTCCTTAACTACTTCCCCCATCTGCATATTCAGAATTAGAAAACCAAAAAAGTTATTTTTCGGCATATGAATATAATACACACCTTCCCGAGAAGTTTGATGGAATAATGGTTCTCCTAAAAATTAACAATCTACAACCAGATGCCCAAATTTTTTTTCAATGCAGAGAACTTTTTGAAACATCACCTTATACATCTCTGTCCATGTGGTATGTCAATTTGTAGATACAAATTTGATGCATGACAAAGCGAATAATATGTCGAAAGTATTCTGTTTGTTTCAACTAGGTCTTTTGATTGTTGTAAGACTCTGGTAGGTCCTATTCATAGAGAAATTATGGAACGAAAAGAGACTACAAACATCACACCACTAGGATTCTAGAAATCACCATCAGCGGCCTTAGTACCATTCCAGTCACCTAAAAGTAATTTTCAAATGTTTCTGGAAAGCGGCAAATGGATTATGTAAAGAAACAACACACGATTCTATCATCCGAGCCCTTAATAACAATGAATGGATTTTCACTCATTGGAAACAAATCACAAATAGAAATCCATAAAACAAAAACATATCTTTCTGAAAAATGAGTAACAGGTAGTCATCCCTTCTTCAATGATCAGTTGGATGGGGATGAGGAAATATTTAAAAACTGTGTTCAAGAAAGCACAACAAGAAAAACGAAAATAAGGAATGATAGATCATTTTGTCCAGTCTTTGTACTGATAATCTGATATCCAATGGTGTTTATATCTCTTCCTATCTGAACCCTTTTTAGCTTTTTTTATTTTTTTATTTTTTTTTCCTTCACATAACAAAATAGACACTGAACTTCAGATTTTGAATGCCAAAACAATAATCCGTCATCAGTTCTCTGACAAAACACCGTCGATGAGACTCTTGGGAAAACTGCAAGACTCAAGTAATCAGCAATCACCAAAAAGAAATATCACCATACAAATTTCCTATGCTATGATAATACCTACACAATTGGGTTTTTTTGCTTGAAATCTCGAACAGAAACATTTGATGAACGGACTAAGACTAAAAAGCACAAAAACAATTAGCTAGATTTTGCATTCCGTCCTACATTTCTACTTTCCCGTAAAAAGCTCATGTACTGCGGATTCACAGCCAGTACTGAAAGCAAAATATTCGACACTTAACCATATGTCACACTACAGCAAAAAGGAGTCTTTATTTCAAAGATTCAGTTTACTAAATTTCATATTATTCATTGAAAAGTAATGTACATTGCAATTGAATACCAAAAAATTTAAATACAAAGTTAGGAATAGATTGTAACTAAAGAAAGTGATTGCTGAAATGGAGAAGATGAAGGGGTTATGCTTTTACCCATATGTCAAACATGCTTTGTAGCACACTGACAGATACTGAAATATTTTTACATTTTACAACTCAAGGATTACGATAATGGCTGAAATGGAAGATATGCTTTTTCAGGCGAGCGAGAGGCGAAAAAGAGTGTGTGAAAATCAGCTTTGTATGTAAATCATCGAAATGCTCCAATTTTGCAGCTTATTGAATCTAAATATCAGAAACATGATAAACAATCAAAGACATGCGCATTGGATAGAATTGAAGCAGAAAAAAGGCGAACAATCTTACTTGGCAAATAAATGGTGGCACCCAAAACCAAAGCAAAAGCTCGTGAGTTCAAGATGGTCAAATCTGCAAGAACCCAAGAATCATTAGATCATTAAATAGAATCTGTGAAACCAAAAAACCAAAAACATGAAATACCAAAGTGGTAAAGATTACCAGAAATTTAGAAAAAGTAGTTTGGTGAATGTTAAAATTGTAAGAGGACTACAATCTGTGAATAATAAGGGAAGGAGTTGAATCTTGGGGGATATCAGAACCACATGGGACTGCTTATGTGGGACGAGATTACACACACCAACCACCAGCTCCGTTACTGATGGAGTGTGAATCACATTCAGATGAGGACGCAGTGGTTGGGCAAAACTGAGGTAGGAAAAGCCAATCACAGCCACTCTCTGTCTCTCTGTCTCTCTGTCTCCGTCTCTCTCACTCTCTTGTGCTTTCCATGTGAGTTGGGACTTGGGAGCTGGTATTTTATAGGCGACAGACGAGTGCATAAATGTCCGTATTTTATATATAGCACCTATACACTGCCATGGTAACTGTCTGTCTCGTGCTAGTAACACAAAAAATATGCGAAAAAAATAGCAGTGTCCTTACATAATTGGCACACGTAATAATATACTCGTGTTATGTAAGTTTTTCTCATGAGTTCGAGACAATTTTGGTTGCATTCGAATTTGGAGGATGGGCTTCCATCAACCATGTGTCATCTGGTTGAGAAAAACATACCATGACGCATTAGTAAGCGAAACTTCCATGGGCCAGCCAGCCGCTGCTCTTGCGAAAATACAGCCTTCTATATTTTTATTCTTCCGTTCAACATTACTAACCTTATCCCATGTGAGAGCTACAGCATTGCCCGAGTCAGAATAGAAAATTGTTTGAATAGAAGTTGCCATGTGGCATGTGAGTAATGGTTAATAATTTTAAGCTCATAAAACAAAATCAAGAGAGAATAATAACGTTTTTTTTTTCTTTCTTTGAAGTCTTCATTCCAAATTTTATTCTCATTATCTTTTCCATAATTATCTCTATTCAATGTATTCATTGCATAAAATATTCTTACCAACTTTGTAGTTGGAGATTTTCGTGCATCCAGAAAGTTGCCGCACTTACTTGTTAACTAATTATCAAGGCTAAAAAAAAAAGTACTTCACTTCTAATTTAAGCACTAAAAACTATTTACTAAAAATAAAAAATGCTAATTATTTTGAAAGTAATGACCTCTTCACGTTATCTTTTAAAAGCATTCTCTAGATTACTTTTCAAAACTGCTTTCATAAGAAATAAACTTGAGCCTTTTAACCATTTTTTTTTATAAATAAAATCGATATAAGTCCAATTTTACGAGTCATTATTGAGTTTAGTACACTTTGCTGGGCTAGGACTATTCATATATTATCCACATTAGTTTTTTTTATTATCTTTTTTTATTAAATTGTGGTAAATCTCATCCCTTATTTATAGGTCTATCTTTTACTCAATTTTAGGATTAATATAAGAACTCAATATTGTTTCTTCTTCTTCCGCTCCTAATTTGTATCTCAATTTTTTCTTTTGCCTCCATATAGGTTAACTATGTTAACTAATATAAGTTGTAAATACTATACATGACACACCCCAACCAAAGTCGAGACGTGCTGGCCATCACCCAAAGGTGACGTAACCAAAAGTATGAGTGATGTAAAAAAATGTGAATAAATTAAAACAGAAACTAGAACTTATTTAAACTAATCAAGTGAGTGCGTGGTAGTGGGTAGAACCCATAAACTACAAATATTCAAAGCATAGATAACATAAGGGTAAAGCAGTCGACCTAGAGAAGTACTTATTACACAACTAGGATAAGTTCCTACGTTAAGATGGAGATATGTCAGAATCGTCCGGTAATCCTTAAGTACCACAAAGTAAGTCAGCTATCTAGGACCTGGAGGGGCAAAAAACAGAAGGGTGAGTGGGCACAAAAATAAAGGTTTATAAAACACGTTTATTTTCCGAACATACTAACCCCTCGCTGTAAAACATGTATAGTTTCCAGAAAGTCATACTACGTATAGGTATGAAATCAAATGCATGCCAAATCCAGAAGTATGCCATAACACAATAAGTTAACAGCAATATAAATATAATCATGTGCTCAACAATCTATACTAGCAGGCAAGTTGAAGTCGCCTAATGCGACCTGTACGACTGCACATATTGCTCATCAATCTATGTTAGTACATGAGTCGGAGTCGCATAATGCAACCTGTACAACAGGACTAGTGTAATATATATGCTCTAGTACTACAATCACATGAAAACTGGTGATAATCACAATCACCTACAAGTTGGAGTCGCCTAATGCGACCTGTACGACAAGACTGGCACCTACTTTGATCCAAGGCGAGCGTGCGGTGCGGAAGGTGAACATCACGTGAAGAACTGGCCCTGACTCAAGGTGGGAGCACTAACACCGGGGTGCATAAATGATAAGTGAACTATATGAATGTATGCATGCCAAAATGATTCAATGATTTCAATCAGCATAATAAACTTACCTGAACTTACCTGAGCATCCTGTGAGATTATTTAGCATTTCACAACAGTACAATATTTATGAGCAGATAAAATGCATATAAATATGCCATGTCAATACGTAAATCTCAACCGCATAACAACATTTTTGAAACAAATAAATCATGGCATAGTATGCATAAATCAATTTAAAAGTATTTGTGGAAACTATAAAGTGTGTATATATATATATACACACACACGAAAACAAAGTGCCCACTCAATGATATGTCGAAGGATTGTAGCCCCCCTAGCCTTGTTTGTCCATGTACGTCCTCATGGTAAGTCTCTCCTATATGTGAAACAACTAACAATAATTAACTAAATAACACATATACGAAAAAGTTAGGAAAAACTCCCCATATTTTGCTCAAACGGAAGGTTTGAATATATGAAAATGTTCTACTCGAAGTCACGGACCCGCACGTGTCAACCACTCACTGGCCAGAGGTCGGACGCGCCCTCACCCATCGCCCAACCCACGGCCACACGCATAGGCACATGCACGGCAGAAGCTAACGGCCGTCGGGAATATTTCGTCAGAGTTGACGGAATATTCCGTTAAATAGTTAACAGAGTTTAACGGCGTCACCTGATGCCGTTAGAATATTCTGTCAACTTTGACGGAATATTTTTTGTCTTCTCCGGTGAGCCTCATCGTCCACCACTGTCTGGTTTCACCGGTTTCTGGGAAATTTTCAAAATCGCATAACTTCTTCATTTCTTAACCATTTTGACCAACTTTATATGGAAATGAAGCTCTTGAAGAGAAGAACAAGATTATACCTTTCAAAAATCCAAAAAGTGGACGGAAGTGACCTGATGGTTCGAAAGGTTCGGCCAAAACCTCGAATCCTTGAACTCGCTGGTTTCGATGTCAACTCGACTCCAAACTTAGTTTAAGAACTCTAGGGGGTTGTGTAGAAGCTTCCTCACGTTCTAAAACCTTGTGACTCGGCCTAAAACTCATCGGAGGAAAACTCACCAAGTGAGACCTTTCGAGTTGGAGAGTCAAAACTCATCCGTTTCACGATCTGAGGGTACAACTTTGATTGTGAGTTCAAGGGGAGTTCAATGGCAGTGTTTTGGGAGTCGATCAAAGGAGTTTGGACGTCAAATTTGCTAGTTGCAGAGAAAAGAGAGGTTTCGGGGAGAGAGAGAGAGAAGGACAAAAGAGAGAGAGAGAGAGAGAGAGAGAGAGAGAGAGAGAGAGAGAGAGAGAGAGAGAGAGAGAGAGTGTGTGTGTGTGTGTGTGTGTGTGTGTGTGTGTGTGTGTGTGTGTGTGTGTGTGTGTGTGTGTGTGTGTGTGTGTGTGTGTGTGTGTGTGTGTGTGTGTGTGTGTGTGTGTGTGTGTGTGTGTGTGAATGTAGTTTCTGATTGGGGGAGCGAAGGAGTAGGATCATATTTAATTGGATGAAAGGGAAGGTTCTGATTGGTGAAAAGGGAATTAGGGAAAAAGAGTGAAGGTGAGGGTTTTAGGGAAATCAAATTTGATTGGTGGGGTGATTGGGAGACACATATCCACTTTTGAGGAGAAGGGATTGGATTTCAGATTTTGTACAAATGTACACAATCTGTATCCTTAACAATGTTTCTGATACTGTAAATTTGTACGTGCATGTACAAAATACTCGTGGTTAACGTACTTTAACAGAGCGTAACTTTTTCGTTACAAATCTGATTCGGGTCTAACTCGCACCCACGCGTTCGTAACAACGAGTACCATTTAATGACAATAGCAAGAAAAATGATTTAAAGCTGCATAATCACGTCCACGTCACTTTGCCTACAAGGGCATAAATGTCAATTTACACACTCGGGGAGAATTTACATAGGAAATTAAGGACGGGTCGTCAAAATACAGATCAGAAGACATACTAGCACTACAAAACAAAGTGTCATTAGCGAGGGTCAAATACCGTTGGAAAAGGCATTTTGCCGTCGCAAATACTTATTTCCGACGGGAAAAAGCCCTCGCTGAGCGTCGGAAATTGTCTCATTGGAAATACTTTTGTTCCGACCAGCCGTTGGAGAATTAATGCATTTTCGATTCGACACACATGACTCGTTGTTAAATAGTTATTTTTTATGTTGGAAATGAATGTTCATCAAAATGGCAAACTTATTTATTTTTCGACATGGAATTTTGGTCGCAAATACTTATAGAGTTGTCGTCGAAATTACTTTTCTTCAAGTGACGACAAATGTTTTTTTGCGATCACGTTTTTTCCGACCAAACAATTGTGTCAAAAAAATCTTTTTCCAACAAAAATCATATTTTTTTACGAGAGTGCACAATCATCGCAATTACAATTTACCGACCATAAAAGTTACGTTTGTCGAAAATACATAACGGCTTGACAGAAATAGGCACAAAAACTACATATTTACTATGATCAAGCATCGTCGAAAATATGTACTTCAATGCAACGGTGGAATATTTTTGTCGTGAATTTACATATTTGCAATGGTGAAGGCTTTCATCAATAATAATTTTATTGTCAAAAATAATATTCGTTAGCGGCAAGCGGGATATATATATATTTCGACATATGGTCGAATTATGAATTTGCAATGGTGAAGTTTCATCGGTAATATATATTTTTCTGACGGTGAAGCTTCATTGGAAATAAATATTAATGACCATATTTAGTCGTCGCAAATTTTTTTCATAACCAATATTTGGTTGAAAAATGGGTTTTTCCTATATGAGCGTCTTTGTTAGAAATGTGCACATTAAAACGAGAGAAAAATTTACAATCGAAAAAAGCTATTATTCTATTTATAATTAAATTATATATATTGGAATTTAAATATTGATAAAATAGGTATGTAATTACATATATTTGGTCTAAATAATTAAATTAAACATTGTATTAATTTTAACTAATAAATCAAGCAAATTAAATTCATAAAATTATTTAAAAAAGAAATGGACAATAGTTAAATTGGAAAAAAAATACACAAAAGAACAATATCCCACGAATAAAACCTAACAAGTTCAGATATTTGATAATAAATCAAAATGAAAGTATGATGCACTACTAATCTTCATGTTGAGCATCTGACCAACTTTCAACATTCTCCTGTCAAACAAACAATAAAGAGAGTAAGTAAGAGAGAATAAGTATAGTCAGAAATAATGAAATTTATTCAAACAATAAGACAAATACAAATAAAAAATAAAACAATTACATTTACCATAGAAGCAGCAGATGGTCCTGAGCGCGCCATAATTATTTGAGTTGTTTGGCATCAATCTTTTCAACTAATTCTTGCAAAGAATTCAACTTATCTGTTAAAGTGTGGACTTGGTCCTTCAATTGCTCATGGTTTTCTTCACGTTCTAAAAGCACATACGTTTATTACAACTTTGGCTATTTGAGGGGATATGCATCTTTATACTAAAGCCAAACACCTACACAAGAAGACAGACGACCATGTGTAGCTTTTTCTGATGGCCAGAGAACCCAGACTTGATTAGGCAAAGACAAAATCCCATTGTAGCTTTTCTTTTGTGTACATATAAATTAAAAATCCACATATAAAATTACCTTGTATATTTGCATGTTGGGTCTCTTGCATTTCATTGTCATGTAGTTCAGTGGTGGTATCATGTTGGTTTAAAGAGAGTCTAGATGACAGACGACGTGTGCTTGATGAATTTTTTTGGCTCCTTCCCTTTTTTGCCATATCTATCAATCATACAAATACAAGAAAATTAGATGCCAATAGTACCGAAAGAATAGAAGAAGAAAAATGAAAAAAACGAAACCATGAAAGCTAAAATAAAAATCAACTAGAATTAGGGTTTCAATGGCAGAAAGGCAAAATATATACATAAAAACCCTAATTGTTAGAAAATCCCAGCAGCCATGAAAAATGAATAAAATTGAAATTTTTAAATATATACATAAACCCTAAAACTTAAAATTGGCACACAAGGAGAACTCATTGTCACAAAACCTAAACTGGACGAACTAGAGACAAACAAAGATGACTTTAGGGTTACCTGTATGCTCACGGGTTGTGCACTTTGAATATTGATTATGGAGAGAGTTTTGTTTGCCTCCTTTGAAGGTTGGAGGCATTAATATAAATAATGGCATAGATGCAACCCTAATCTAATCAAGAGTGTAGTTTCCCTCCTCTTTTTTTTTTGGCTGTGGGCGGAACAAATTTTAGGAAATTTTTTTGGAAATTGTGGGAGAAAAGGGAGGGACATGCCAAAACCCTAATTAATTTGGAAAAAAACCAAACCGTCAAACTTACATAAAAACAAAGAGTTTTTGGGCGTGTGTGGAATTTTAATTAATTATTGAGATTGAATTTCGTTATTTCTATTCCATTGAAATCTGTTTCCATGTGGTTTATGATTAATTGTGGAAAAAACCCAAACCGTCAAAACTTACATAAAAACAAAGAAGTTTGGGAATTGTGGAAAAAGAAGAGGAAGCCAAAGTTTATTTTTGGGAAATGGCAAAACACTAAATTCTACAAACATTTTTTTTTATAATATTTAAAAATGAATATAATTGTTTCACTTATTGACATAATGTTAATGGGTCATTGTTTCAAATTTCGCATAGTAAAAAATTGCAAAATTCATAAAACGAGACTGAGAAGGTTATAAACGCAAACTCAAGATTTAAACTATGATTTTGTGCAAATACACTCCTAGATAAGAGAAGATTTAATGTTGGAATGGTTCTAAAGGAAGGTTTGACACTTGTTTTTAAACTATGAATGGCGGAAACTAAATTCTAAGTGTTTGTAATCGTCGATTGACGGAATCACATATTGTAAAATATCTGAACGAAAAAAAACTGAATTCACATTCAAAAATTAGGATATGCAGAATCGGAAAGGACCTTTTGACCGGACGTTATAAACGCAAACTTCACGATTTAACATGATCTTAAATGAATTTGATGAATTTTAAACTGGATTTTTTACCTGAAATACATGATCATCCGAAGACTTTTGAATGGTTATATCATTCTTGAATGAATTATGATAATATCGATTTTGCATGAATTTAAAATATATTTGCACTAAGATGGCTAACCAACTTCACAAATTATTAATTTCAACTTAATGAAAGTATAAAATAAACTCCAAGTGTTTGTTGAAATCTGTCGTTTGAAGGAATGACACATTCTTGACAAAATAACTTCGTTTTCATGACGATTAACCGTCTCAACTTGCTTCTAAATGCAATCAAATCACAAATACGTAAAAAGGCTGCAAAACGGACACATTGAGCACAACATATTCAATATAAACGATACAACCGGACGAACCTTTTTCGAATCGGTTAAAAACGCATAATATTCAAAAGACCGGTTTAACGAAAACTTAAGCTCCGAATTTTATGATGTTGTTTTACAAATACAATTCCTCAACCATATAGACTATGATGAACGAATTCGAAATTTATTTCATTGGACAACAAATTATTCACTTCTAAGTGTAAAAACACATTCTACAAAACTAGTTTCAACGATCCAACCATCAAACTTATTGGTATATGCTTCAAGATTGCATCAGTAAAAAATTGCAAAAAACAGATATTCAGATATTAGGTAACGAGACGAGACCTTTTGACGGTTATAAACGCAAACTCACGATTTAACGGTGATCTTAACCCCAGCTAATTTTTACAACTACACTCCTAAGCCCTATAAGAGTGTGACGAACGAATTCGATCTTCAATTTAATATTTGCACTAATGGATAATACTATTTTAATATGGTTTTGTGTTTTTTTTTTGTCGAAAATACGGTTTCGTGTATGTAATATTTTAGGGAGACTTTAGATGCGGTCCTTAGTTATGAATATTATTTTATTGAAATCTTGTTGGTTTTTAATTTTTGATCGAGGTCCTTGAAATTAATGTGATAATTTATTTCTTTGTATGTTACTATATTTTTTAAATTATAAATTATAAATTTTAGTTGTTTATATAAATGAGATTTTAAATAAATAAAAAACATAATTTGTGGGATTAAAAATATTAAAAATATAAATATACTAGTGTGTGTGTGTGTGTGTATACATGGGTACATTCATCAAAATTACCAAAAAATTTATTGTATCAAAACATGGGTACATTCTTCAAAAATCGCAAAAAAAGAAGATATTAGGCTTAATAACATTAGTAAATTTCTTCGATTAAACTTGACATGGATATATTTTAAAATCAAAGAAAACAGAATGTACCCATATAAGTTTAAAAATGGATTAGAAAAAAAATTGAATAGATTTTATATAAAAAAAGGTACATTTTACATATAACAAATTGGTATATTTAAGAATGAGTACATTTTAAGATTAAAAAGTTTTACATGAATGGGTACATATAATTAGCATGGGTACATTTAGCAAAATAAAAAGTAAATAAACTTTAAAAAATATGGGTACAAATTAAAACTGAAAACAAAATTGGTACAAGTTAAAAAAGAATTACAAATTAAAAATGGGTACAAACTAAAACTAAAAATATATGATAAAAAATTTAGTCATAAATATATATATACTAATTGTAACATTTTTAACATTAAATGAATATATTTAGAAATAAAAAAAATATTTTATTATTGAAATAATTAATGATGTTATTAATACTCAAGGACCTTGATCAAAAATTGAAAAGGAATAGGATTTTAATCAATAGAGTAGCAAAATGAAGGATGAAAATCTAATTTCTCCAATATTTTAATACCCAAATTAATGTATACGATCCCTCCACTTTAGTACTGCTTAATTATACCCAAAATAAACCTACGTATAATTTTAGTTGGGATAAACAACTCTTGGATTTGTGAACTCCAATTCCTCCGTTTTATGGTTTGGGCATTCGTGACTTTCTCCCTCCATTCCGTCGAACGTCTGAACTCTAGGTATTTCTTCCATCATCTGGACGTTCTTGAATTTTTTATTTCGTTCCATTGTTATGTTATTTATTGGCTTGTTCTGTTTTCCAATTAATTGTGACTTCAACCCTTATTTTTCAGATTTATAGTTTTGATTTTGCACGTCTGTTGGGGGGGGGAGTCTGTGGGGATGGGTTGGGGGGTGTTTCGGATTTATATTTTTATTTGGGTCAAATTGAAGGGGTTGTCTTAGTCTTGCTAAAAGAAGAGAAGAAACCATGTACGGTTGGGGTTGGGTAGACAAAGAAGGCTCCATAATCAATTATAAATGTCTAATGCATCTAGAATTCTAGTAGGGATTGACTAAGAAGCAGGAATATGGGAGTTAGGTTGTACATATCTGAATTACTTTCAACTTTTTCTATATGTTTGGGTTGGGGGGGGGAGATTAAGAGTTAGCATTTGGGCGTGTGTGGAATTTTAATTATTGAGATTGAATTTCGTATTTTCTATTCCATTGAAATCTGTTTCTATGTGGTTTATGACTAATTGAGGTCCATGTGAGATTGAATTTAGAATCTTTATTTGCTTTTCTTCTTTATTGGCATGCAAGTTATGAATTGGATTATCGAAATAAGAGGATTTTGTTGATTTGCATTTAAGCATATTGGCGTTTATTGTTTTTTTTTTATTACTGTGATTATATACCTAACTGATTTTGACGATAATACTGAGAAACGCAATACGTTTATAGCATTCGATAAAGACTGTTCGGTTCTTGCGCGTGTGTGTCCCCCCAATTAGACACTATGTGTGAACTTTGTTCCATGCAGGGAAAAATGCCAATCGATAAATCTTGGATGCAATCTGGGAGGTCATCCGAAGATTATTTTAACAGAGTTGAAACTTTTCTTGATTATGCATACAACCATCTTCAGCCGGACGATGCTAAAATTTTATGTCCTTGCGTCAAGTGTAGTAATAGATACAAAAACGTTAAGGTTGAAGTACAACAACATCTTCTTTATAATGGAATTATCAAAAATTATACTATATGGTATTTGCATGGGGAGGATGAGAATGACGAGACTGATGAAAGCAACAGTGATAGTGATAGTGATGGTAGTGAAAATGATGTGATCAATGTGGAACAAGATGATGATATGCATGGTTTAGTAGAAGAAGGCTGTCCACAGGACCCAAATAGAGATGCAGAAAAGTTTTACAAATTGTTAAAAGAGGCAGAGCAGCCGTTGTACGATGGTTGTAAGTCGTATTCCAACTTGTCCTTTGTTGTCAACTTGTTGCATATCAAGAGTACTGGTACTATGAGCAACAAAGCTTTTGGTGCATTGCTAAAATTGTTGAAGGATGCCTTTCCTTTCTGTGAAAAGTTACCTACAAGCAATGATGGTGCAAAGAAAATTGTTGCAGAATTAGGTCTTCATTATGAAAAGATCGATGCATGCAAGAATGATTGCATTATTTATTATAAGGAGCATGCAAATGCAACGCAATGTCCTACATGTAAGCTTTCGAGATGGAGAACACAAGAAAAGGGTAACAAAAAGAAAGGTAAAAAGGTTCCCTGGAAGATTCTGAGATATTTTCCACTCACGCCAAGGCTTCAGAGATTGTATATGTCATCAAAGACAGCTGCAGATATGAGATGGCATTCTAAAGATCGTGTGAAAGATGGTGTATTGAGACATCCAGCAGATTCTGAGCAGTGGAAATATTTCGATCAAATTCATGAGTCATTTGGTATTGAACCTCGAAATGTACGGCTTAGTTTGGCAACAGATGGATTTAACCCTTTTGGCAAGATGAATCTTCGCCATAGTACTTGGCCAGTTCTCATATTCCCGTACAATCTTCCTCCCTGGATGTGTATGAAGGAGCCTTATACTTTCATGTCCTTACTTATACCTGGACCAACAAGTCCAGGTAATGACATAGATGTATATTTGAGTCCATTGATTGATGAGTTGCAAACACTATGGGAAACTGATGTGGAAACGTATGATATATCTACAAGGCAAAATTTTCAAATGAGAGCTGCACTTATGTGGACTATCAATGATTATCCGGCATATGCTTACATGTCAGGTTGGAGCACTCAAGGAAGATTGGCATGCCCATATTGTGCCTCTAAGACTTCACATCGCAGGTTATCTCATGGGTCAAAAATGTGTTATCTGGGTCATAGACGATTTTTACCGTCTAACCACTCATGGCGCAAGCAAAAAAACAAGTTCGACAATACAAGAGAGAAAACGGTTGCACCCAGTAGACCATCTGGTGATGATGTTATACAAGAACTGGATGAATTAAGAAAAATAACTCATGGCAAGCAGAACAAGCATACGATACCTGGGTTGGGAAGGAGGCATAATTGGAAAAAACATTCTATATTTTTTCAATTACCTTATTGGAAAACACTTTTGGTGCGTCATAACTTAGATGTTATGCACATCGAGAAAAATGTATTTGAGAGTCTGATTGGCACAATGATGAGCATTGATGGTAAGACAAAGGATTCTTTAAATGCTCGCCTTGATCTTCGTGAAATGGGTATAAGGGAAAAATATCATCCAAAAGTAAGAGAATATGGTAAGCTTGATTTTCTCCCAGGTGACTATACATTGTCAGACGATGATAATAGAGTTTTATGTAAATGGTTATCTGAATTACAAGTTCCAGATGGATACTCTGGAAATTTATCTCGATGTGTGGCTGCTGGAGAACGTAGTATTTCTAGTATGAAGACCCATGATTGTCACATTTTCTTGGAAAGATTACTTCCCTTTATAGCTCGAGAGTTATTGCCTAAAGACGTTTGTGAGCCCCTCATTGAGCTTTCTTATTTTTTCAAGGAATTGTGTGCTAAAGTATTGAGAGAAGAAGATTTGAATGTTCTTGAAAATCAAATTGCTATTACATTATGCAAGATGGAACAAATATTCCCTCCTGCCTTCTTTGACATCATGATTCATCTAACTTGCCATTTAGCATGGGAGGCAAAAATGGCGGGTCCAGTGCAATATAGGTGGATGTATCCTGTAGAAAGGTAATGTCAATTTTCAAATATTATTATTACATAACATTTTATTTGATATCAAGTTATATTCTCTAATTTCAATTTTTACTATCTGGTTAGGTATTTGCATAAACTAAAAAGTTATGTTCGTAATAAGGCTCGTCCAGAAGGATCTATTGCGGAAGGCTACTTGGGAGATGAATGCATAACATTTTGCTCTCGTTATTTGCATCGAGTTGAAACTAAGTTTAATCAAAGGGATAGAAATGATGATGGAGGTCAATCGTTATCTGATACATCTCAATTACCTATTTTTTCAACACCAGGTAAATCTTTTGGGAAAGGTGTACTTGAAGAGAAGGGTATCGAACTCCTTGAGGCTGCCAAGTTTTATGTCCTATAAAATTGTGATGAATGTTTACCTTTTGTTCAGTAAGAAATCTCTCATTACCATACGAACTTTCAACATTCGATCTTTTACTACTTATTTTAGTATTACAATATTTTAATATATTAATTAATTTAACTAACTCATTGTTATATGCGCAGAGAACATAAGAATATTCTAACGCATTCTGGTGTTAGAAATGTGGAGGAGTCACATAGGCTTCAATTTTCAAATAGGTTTCATGAGAGGGTATGTATACTATTTATGTGAAAATTGTTGATTATTAGATATATTGTTTCTACAATATTTTTCTTTCTATATATGCAGATCAAACAACTATACTATGATAACAAAGTTGATAAGAAAATGCTTTCGTTGGCTCTCGGTCCGGAAAGGCGAGTAAAATATTATCCTAGTTACTATATGAGTGGGTTTAGGTTTCATACATTGCAACGTGATGAGAATAAAAAAACACAAAATTGTGGAGTTATGGTTAAGGGGGAGAATCAGATTGATAGTGTGTCTTGGTATGGAGTATTAAAAGACGTGGTTGAGCTTCGTTACACAGAAGGCAATAGAGTTGTATTGTTCAATTGTGAGTGGTATGACATTGTGCGAAAAGGAACAGGTTATAAGATAGATCGTTATGGAATAATTAGTATTAATACAACTCGCAAGTTGAATACTAAAGAGCCATTTGTGCTGGCAAACCAAGCAACCCAAGCTTTTTATGTGAGAGAGATTAAAAATAAGGCTTGGAGTTACGTGGTGGAAACGAAGCCTAGAAATGTTTATGAGATGCCTAATGTTGATGATGATGATGAGCCATACCAAGAAGAAGAGGCGCATGGGGGTATTCAAGCCAACCAAAATGATGACGAAGATGATGAAATTGTGGGATAAGCTCTCATTGTGATTGTGTTTTTTTTTTATCTGAAAATTTAGTTGCGGAAGTGATGTGGTTATACTTTGTTCAATGTCAATGACAAATGTTATGATTTAACAAAGGCATGCAAATTATTTCTTTATCATAGAATACTATATTAAGTTATACACTTTTTTTTCTCAATGGTTTTATTTTTAATTTAATGGTCCAATTTTCTCCATATGTATTCTAAGTTATATGATCTATTTATTGTAGAATTTAAATTAAGCATCAAACTTATTTCAAGAATATTCAAACGACACATGTGACCTTTAGTAAATAATTGATTCCAACAAAACCATATGCCTTAAATTTATTCTGACAAAGAAAAAATTTTGTCTGAAAAATATGATTACTTCCGACAACAACTAATCACCCACGAAAATATAAAAGCATTACCGAGAGGACTTTTTTTTCCCTCAAAATGATAAAAACATTACCGAGAGGACTTTTTTTCCCTCGAAAATACTAAATCAATTTCGTCCACATGAGTAAACCTTCGGAAATAACCATTCTATTTCCGATAAGAACTTTACTTGTCGTTAATACAACTGGCACCAATTCTTCCCGCCAAACAAAAGTGCAATTCCGACGAAACTTGAGACTTTTTCCTAGGACATCATGTGCGTTGGTAATAAAAATTTGTTTCATGCCATGTTACCGACGACTCATATTTTATGGTCGCAAAATGTGCTTTTTACGATGGTTTTTTTGGGCCCTCGAAAAATCTTCGTCGGTAATGACTACTTTTTTTGTAGTGTAGTATGGATTTATAAATGCATAGAAGATAAAGTTTCTTTGAACTATTTTCATGGATGATAGGTAAATTAATTTTTAATTATTTTTGTAGATACCTGTATCATAAGTTAAATATATATTTTCAAACTACGGTCTAGTCATCATAAATGATCGCCATCTTACCACATCTTATTCATTATTGGTATTGTACATAATTAAAACTGTCACGCTCCGATCCCGATATATGTTCAGGATTGACACGTGATGCTCATGTGTAAGGTGCGAGGAATACTAATAAGATACACGCTCCCCTACCAATGCATTTTTACATCCCACAACTTAGGTAGATCACTTAGCCCCGTTCATCTTCGGTGCAAGAGCGCTAGACCAGTGAGCTATTATACACTCTTTCAAGGGTGGCTGTTTCTAGGCAAACCTCCTAACTGTCTCAAATACTAGTGCTAAAATTCACAATATTTACAACAAAAGTAAGGTGGTGGGGTCTCTGCCACAATATACGACAACTATACAACAAAAACAACTAACCATTACTAAGGTTAAAACAGTTGTTAACCAATGACGTGGTGCTCGCATAGACAATGACTGGGCACCACGTGTCAATCTGGGCCCACGTATATATTAAAAAAATTTATAAAAACAATTTAAGATTAAAAGGTTTTGAAAATTTTAAAATTTGAAAAAAAAATGAAGATAGTGGATGCGTTGAAGGAGCATTTCAAGAGCCCTAATTCGCAGGACCAGACCTAGATTTGGCACCAAGCTTCACCATTTCGCAGAACAGATCAGAGAAGACGATCAGCTGCACCTCCTCGCGACCAGAGCCTTCCTTATCTTCAACTCTCGGTGAATCGAAGCTGCAAATCAGTTATACCTCCAATGTAGGGCTGGAAACAAAATTTCAAAAATTCCAAACCATATCGAAAAAATCCCGATCCCGAACCGAAATTCTGAAATGTTTGGTACTTATCCCGAACCGATCCTGAGCCATTCGGTATAGGATTCGGTCTGCCCATTCACTGGTTCGATAATCCCAAACCCAACCGACTAGATTCCTTTATATGCTTTTGAGTTGTTTTTTTTTTTGGGATTTATTGGTTGTATAAAAGCTAAAAGATGCCCCGTGTATTTCCTTATTTCTATCCAACCATATTAGAGTCGTTTGGCTCCTCCATTCGTTTTCTAATAGCTTCGAGAGACTTCTTTCTTTCTCTTCAATTTTTGTCAACACGAAAACCTAGCCTCCCTCATTTTTGTTTCATCCCTTTTCCAAACACTAGCCACTCCTACCTCTGTAAATGAATTCCCCATAAATCATTCACACAACCATAGCCACCTTCACTGCAACTCAATCCCCCATAAACCACTCACTCAGCCATAGCCACCTCCATTGCAATTTAGACTCGAGCTCTCGAGGTCTTTCTCATACCATCATAGACCCTAGCCTCCATTTCTCCTTAGATCTGTGAGGAATGGTCGCTGTTAAAACCTAGAAGCCACCATCATTGAATATCGCACCTCTGTGAGCTCGTTAAGGTCGACAGTGGTTCCTGATCTCGATCTAGTTCTGAGCCTTGAGGAAGATCGACGAATCCTGAACCATACCGAAATCCCAAAATTTTTTTGAGAATCCCAAAATTCAGGATTATTGAAATATCGGTTCAGTTTTAGTTTTCAGAATCTCATCCTGAAAAATGTCGGTTTGGGATTTAGGATTCGATTTTTGGTACAGGATCCCAAACCGAACTAGCCCTATTTCAATGGGTTGTTGTCTTAGTCCAATTGCCTCAATGATTCTGGGTCGGTAGAGATGTTTTTTTTTGTTGGGGCAATTCAACTTCCAATGCTTGGGCATTTGGAGGTCCCCTGGTCTTGCTCTTAGGGTTAATTCTATTTGGTTTGATTTCCAAAACCACTAAAATCGAAAACCGAACCAACCAATTTTAGTTCCTTTTTTTTTCGATTCAATTTGTTTCGACTTCGATTCGATATTTGGTTCCTTTTTTTCTTTCTATTTTTCGAACTCACCTTTACTTTTTAGTACTCCACATCTAAATTTCTTGTATTTGTATATGATCTTGTTCAATTTTATTCAGTAGTAAAAGTGTTCAAAAAATTAACAATTAGATTTTGCGTATGAAGATTTAATGAATATCTGCAACTGTTAAATTTTGCATAAAACGTGTACATTGCAACAAGATCCGATCTCATCAATAAATAATAAACGTACATTTCAAAACAAATAAACAAATAAAATGTCCATTGGGGATGAATTCAGCTTGTCTTGCAATTCAACAAGGATAAATTTTTCAATGTGAGGGGAACATAATCCGGCACACCAAGTATCATAATACAACGGGTTGGAATTTTTTTCTTTTTTGGATTAATTACAGTTTGTTACCCTGAAGTTTCTTGGTTTTTAACATTTCATACATCAAGTTTTTTCGTCCCAGTCTGGTACCTAAAGTCATAGTTTTGGGACACTTTCATACGTCCGTTAAGTTTTCCATCAGAACCTCCATTAACTGATGATGTGACGCCCACATGGATAATGATTGGTCACCACATATCACTCTGGTGCCACGTGGACATTAAAAAAATTAAAAATTAAAACAAGTCTTCAAGATCCTTTGGTTTAGATTATCTAATAAATCACTTAATGAAAGTAGATTATTTTTCATTCATTTCAAAACATCCACGATCCCTTCTAGAACCAAACATGAACCTTTTCGATTAATTTGGCTCTCGTGCTCAATTTATTGAATTCCTTTTGAGAATTTCATTGGGACCTAAAAGAATTTTGCCAATTCCTTCCACCCCAACCCCCCCTTACACACACACACACACACAAACTTTTCTTTCTCTCTCCCATAAAGCCTCTTTAAAAAAATTAAAAACTAGGGTAAATCTTAATTTACTATCGTGAAGTTTCTTGGTTTTCAACATTTCATACATCAAGTTTTTTTCATCCCAGTCTGGTACATAAAGTGATAATTATTGGACAATTTCATAAATCTGTTAAGCTTTTTTGTTAAAATAACAATTAACCTGTGACGTGACGACCATGTGAACAATGACTGAACACCACGTGCACATTAAAAATAAAAATAAAAATTAATTTAAAAAATAAATAAATTAATTAAGGGATTGAAAACACCTAGCTCCTAGTGCAAGAATTTGTTCCCAAATCAGCAACCCAATTGCTAGGAAAACGAGATGGACCCCCTTCTTGGGTTTGCAGCTGGAGTAGTTGATGCAGGTGAGCAAGACGAGATCACTGCCAATGTTGGCGATGATCAGAGGCGGAGCTACTAAGGGACCAGAATAGTCCTGGGCCCATCCTGCCTTTTTTCTTGCTACAATAACATATTGTTGTTGCTTGCGCCTTATCAATGGAATACCATTAAATTCAAGTATGCCCCTTCTTAATCTAAACTCTATTTTCCTTTTACATGCCTCGTTTTTCACTCCATCTCTCTTATTTCAGTGCAGACTTCCCATCCCCTCCTTTTGCTATCAACTTTTCTTTGTCATTTCTTTAGTCCTTATGTTATATTTTCAAATCTTTCATGCTTAACTCTTACTTCATATTCAAGTGTTTGAGTTTGCACAATGTTTTTAGTTCTCTGTATTGAATTTGATTGTGTTTATACCATATAATAATGGGCTACAAGCCCAAAATAATGGGCTGCAATGTTTTGTGAAGAGCGAAGGCCCATAAGCCTAAAATAGCACCAACCAGGTCATCAAAAATAGGTCCAGTACTCCACAATTATTCGGCAACCCGCCGCTATTACCACCAACCAGGTGACCAAAAGTACGCCCAGTACTCCAAAATTATTCGACAACTCGCTATTACCACCAACCAGGTGATGAGATGTACAACCCGTACTCTAATTTGGCAATTAGCCATTCATGCCACCAACTAGGTGATCAAAAGTACGCCCAGTACTTCATATTATACATAAGCATTACTCATATCAATCATACATAAACATTCATGAGCATCACTCATGTTAACATCCATGAACATCACTCATGTCAATCAAACATTCATGAGCATCACTCATGTCAATCAAACGTTCATGAGCATCACTCATGTCAATCAGCTTCAAAAACTTCATTTACAAAAGCTCTAGCTTCAAAAGCTTCATTTACAGAGCTCTAGCTTCAAAGCTTCACTTACAAAGCTTTAGTGCAGGGTATACAAATACCACCTTCG